ACTAACGTACCGGTCAAATTACCGTATTTAAAATCCTCCGTTCCCATTAGTTCATTCAATTTTACATCAATTCCTATCGTCCGATTAATTTTTCAATGTTCACCCTCCCTTTACTTCTGCTTCCACTAAGAACAATTTACCATCTAATTTCTCTCTATTTTATAGCCAATTTGACTAATTACGGCTGGAAAAGTGGTACAGTTATTAATACTTCAAACCATCGAGCCTAGAGTACAAATGCTCGAATTTCCCTAGACGCACATAGGTTAACGCGTTGAACATATAATCACCGGTGACCCCCAAAAAATCGAATTACAACGACTCAATAAAACGACGATTATTCGTAAACATTTCTATTATAAATAATGCTACCACAGGTAACATCCAACCAAATCAACGTGCACTAATAATAACGCGATTCGAATGATCGAACATTATATTTAGTCCATTCTGCGTTTACTCTACGAAATCGAGCGGCGCTCGACGTGTTAAAAACTCCATCGTTCCATTGTCCGAGCGTCGTGTTACCGAACTGGTTCGTACATGTAATCGAGGCTTCGCTGTACTCCGATATCCTTGCCGTGAAATCCGATCGACTAAGGCCAAGTATGGTCCAGGAATTGCGGGTGTGTTGGGTGGGCCTCCGCGTTTCTATTTCCGAGCGGGAATATTTTTATCCGACAGTGCCGCGAAGCCGGTATGTACAATACGCTTCTTCATCCCGATCGCGCCATCTCCGATTTTATTCTCCTTTTTCCTCTCTGCTCGTCCTCTGTTCCTCCGTTTCCGTTCGTCTACGACGGTGACGCAAACCGTTTGCTCCGTTTCAACGTTTCCGCGGATCCCCGGCGGCCTATTCGAATCAATCCTACATCATCGCACGATTCCCTCGAATCGTCGATCGGCGTCACCGTGTCGATTTTTCGTGATTTTTGCTGCGATGGTGAATCACTAGGGAAACTTTCCTATTGGACACACCTTGCTCTTGAAGGCCTTTAAATTACCGAATATATTCCTGTTGTTGACAAAGCTTTCGTCGACGAGTTTTGTTTACAAATTGCTCGTCGTGTGCGGGTTTCAGCGGTTCTTAACGGTTGTTTATACGAATGGAGGAAGCGGAGATTTATTGTTACGGCCTGCGACTAATATTATACCGAAGTTGGCCCACTACCTTACAACCTGAAATGGCTCAAGCGCAAAGGGAATCGTCCGCTCGTGTGAATCGAGTTAGAATGCGGTTCAGTCGATTTCTTGATATTTACTGATTTTTCGAAATTTTCGTGGAATAGATAATATTTTTAGTTATACGAGAATTTACTCGGTTCTTCGTTGTTCCTAGGCCAGAGAGCTCTTTTTATAGCTTGCGAATACGTTGTATAATCATTTCAGTAGAGACATTAATTTTCTCGATCTTTGATTTCTAGACTTAACCGCATTCGTGAGCGACTCAACTATAGTATTCGATCTACCGTTTCGTTCGCCACCTAGCTACGAAATGATACACTAAGGTTGCTAATACATAGTAGTAGAACATCTACACCCATAGGATAGAATAATTTTTGTAAATTCTAGAGAACCAGGATATGAAATCATGAAAACTGTTGCGTCTCACTTTGTCGCGCTTTCTCTCGTTCGCTCTGTTCGTTAGGCGACTAACAGCGAGTCGACAACGACAATGCGTGAAAATCGAGGTGTCAGTTGCTGTAACCACTCTGCATTGCGTAGGCGTCGATCTCTGGAAGAAACGTGCGTCTAATTGCTCAGTTTTCGTGTTTTCTCGCCTGATTTTCCACGCTGATTTAATATTCATAGAAACTGACACGCAACCGATCAAAACTGTAAATCTATCTTTATAGTTGATAGCCAACTATTGCAATACATGATTGGTTAGGTCTTGGTTTCTATAAAATGTTTCAAACGTTTTGCACGACGTAACATGAACATTTTTATTCTCAATGATACAAAGAGATTTTCTAAAAAGAAACTAAAAAGAACTATAACTACAATCTCCGCCATTATCTTCGATCGATCTCGTTCAATTAATTCGATTAGAAACTCTGTTTTGTAAAAACAAGAACCGTACTTGATGAATTGCAAATAATCCCACTTCAAGACTTACTAAACAACAACAACAAAAATAAACGGAATAAAAGGCAACGCGTTGCTAAGTGAAAAGTGGGAGATCCCATTCGGTTGGCTAAGTGTTAATAACGTAGGGAATAATTGCACGGAACTCGATAGCTGTTTCTACAGCTGCAACCGAGTTCCTTTCTTTTGTTTCGATCAAACTATACGGGGCCGCGCGTTGCGCGCAGTCTTTTATTATTTCAGCCTCGCGGATCACTAGTTTCCGGTAAGTCCGCCATTTCCAGCAGGAGGATCTTCAGGTTTTCGCTGGAAAAAGTCTCACGGCGATTCGCGATTCATCATTCATCGTTCTTTGTTAAATTTATCCTACTTTGATGTGCGCAGGATGTTAGGGGCCACGTTGACTGCCTTTGAGCGCGCGCGGTTTCCCTCTTGATTTATTCGGGGACTCCTCGTGCATGGTCGTCGCGAATTACGCGCCGATAAGTTCGCCGGAGATTAAACGAGGCGTCGCGTTAAAAATGAATGTCTTTATTACCGGCGCGCGCGGCTCTTTTATCCGTTAAGATTGAATAGGCGATGAAACTCGTCTAAATCCGAATGTATACATCGTGCGCGCCATTCGATTGACGTTTAATTCATTGCAAGTCGCGTAGTGAAAATATCGTTTATACAAGTAAAATATTTTCGTTCTCCTGGAACAGAGGATCAATCTTTTGCATAGCGTACGCCAATTTTGTTCACAGACGAGTTCAGACGCGCCATTCGATTGACGTTTAATTCATTGCAAGTCGCGTTGTAAAAATATCGTTTATACGAATAAAATATTTTCTTTCTACAACAGGGGATCAATCTTTTGCATAGCGTACGCCAATTTTGTTTACAAACGAGTTCAGATGCGCCATGCAACTCAAACACCTCTTTGACCTTACGTTCATGGTTGGAATAGGATAATGGGGAAAGGGCTAGGATCTGCTTCGCTTAGGATATAACTCGATCTCGCAATTAATTGCCTATCAATGACGAATGGGACTCGTGACGATTTCTACACTAATTTAACTCCTTCGCGTACTATTTACTTTCGTTATTAATATTTTGCTATCGACAATTTATAAGAAATACAAAATACAAACGAAATTTCCACTCGAAGAATGGACAATTTTGCGCTTCTTCCAAATTGTCGATAGAAAACTATGCTTGCTTAGCGAAAGTAAATAGTACGCCAAGTTAAATCGATTGGTTTACTCGAGTTCGAAAGACACGTTTCCCGAAGCGCTCGAAAAGAATAAGCGAGCGCAAGGATGCAGCGCGCCGCGGTTTGGTCACCTCTGTCCCGCAACATCCGCCTGAAACTTGTTCGAGCTCGATTCGAAATCGTCCGATCCGAGCACCGAGCAACTCGAGGATCGATCTCGTCTGCGTAAATAAATCACAGGCGACTATCTAACGCCGCGAGATTCTATCGATATCGGTTCTGCGCCCGGTTTACGAGTGTTTTCGCACACGAGCGCGGCCGGTCCTCTTACTCCCGCGTTTATTATTACGCGCGGAGAATGCGCGAGTGCCGCGGACTATTTATATGTCGAGCATCGACGTTTCGATGAGCTCGAAGTGTCATTACTCGAAATTATACGGGACAGGTGAGTGCGACGGCGGCAGACGCCTGCGAAACCCAAAAGATCTGTTCGGATAACGGTAGTTGCGGGTTACCGATCCGATGCTAAGTAGTCCCTATGCGAAACGATTTTCGTTTCGAAACTTAAGGAACAACCACTGTTTAGCACGCTTAACCGGTTAACTCTGTTTGACGAGTATACGCGTCATCTTAAAACTCTCAATGGTGCTAACTCTTTCGACGATGGGTTATTTATTTTTTGAGACAAACGTAATTCCTCTTCGTTTCGCTTTAGTTTTTCGTTAGGATATATTTTAAGTGCATTTACTTCATTATTTGATTTTATTGCGACAATGAGAGATTTTTCAAACTAAATTCCACACTTAACTGGTTAAAGATTGCTCTACAAACATTCTCTGATGTATTTATATTTCTACCGTTAACACTAAAACTGAGCACTTCAATTGACTTCTCGAAATTTCGCTATAGAAACTCCAAGAGTGCATCTGTTCAGACTCTGAATTTCTCAGAGAAACATTGGTTATCTAACAATTACAAAAAGAAGATGCCAGACATGGGTCATTTGACTCCTCTGGTAGTTCTAGTGTTAAATGCCGTGCTTCTGAATTGCTCGACAAGAATTACAAGGTGACTGCTGCCGACTAAAAATATTTAACAACATGAATAACTTAACAATAGCCTAATGTAAGAATCTGATGCCAAACGATTAATAATTCTTATTCGCCACGAAGGAAGTCGTGTATAAAACGTTCAAGATTCTCGTGGCGCTTAGCGCGTCGAATATATTTATACAGGTTTCTAACAATGGAAAATATTCTCCGAAGCGTGTTGATCTCGCATAATTTTCTACGGTAAATTCTGGTTCTCTATTTATGTAACCGAATCGAAACGCAAAATATCTGGTGGCTAATATTAGCCTGCAGAACGGAGAACCTATGCTTATAATAATAATGCAGGAGAAATAGAAGCATATGTTTAGCTCTGCACCGTGCAGCTTTTGTCCGAAACATTTGTTTGTATCACTCATACTTCTCAAGTTGTCGAGTTTCGCCCGGTAAACAAGCGTTCGGCTGCGCCGCGCGCCGCGCGCCGGCCACGTTTCCCTTTTATTCAATTTCGAAGCCTTGGACGTGCCCACACGATTCCCATGGTGTAACGCGCGGCGCGGACGCCGTTTCCGCGATTTGCATACGGCCGTTTGTCTCACTTTTCTTCTATTTCTCACGGCTGTTTGCTCGACGACTGTGCCGACGAATATAATGATCCATTAAATCCGCACGGACGAGCGAGCGCATCTGCATTCGAAATTTCGGAATAACGAAAGGAGCAGCGAGGAGCCGCTGCAATCTCGACGCGTGATGGAATTTCTCGTGTACACGGGTTTTAACGCTGGAACTGCCTATAAGGTAAACGCATCAGTGGTTGACCAGTTAAGAAGAATTGCCCGTGTGAATAACAGCAAACGCTTGCTCCTTTATTAAATAGTGAGACTTATATGTGGAAATGATGTTCGCACTTCTTACATTATGTAGCAGAACTGTTTTGAAACGTATTATCGAACTTTTAGAGACAATTTTGAACATTCGATACTTGTCGGAAGTTGACTACCCTTGAAAATGAGAAATTTATTAATTGACCTATGGTGGTTAGAAGTTGAGCACTTATAGTGAAACCAAAAACACTGAAGGTGATTAATTTAATAGTAATTCAATGTAATACAGATGGAAACAAGTTAATTCCATATAAAATCTAATTCAGGGACAGAAAATGGTAACAGGTGAATTACTAGTGTCTTTACCTTATATACTGATTATAGTAACATTATTTATTTTTCAAATCGTTCCGGATATTAACGCTAAGGCTATCAATATTCGCGACATAAGAAAACTGAATTTCAACGAGCTCGATAGTTCCAGCGTTAAGAAACTTACATTAAATTTTTCTTGAAATTTGATCCATGCTGTTAGTCGTGGACGTAGAGACACATCGACGAGAAGAAGTCGTAGTTTATTTGTTCGAAGTGTGCGCGTACAATAGTAAAACGTGAAACTGAGAAAAGTATACGTGGAAAGGAACGATAGTAGGAAGGAAGAATATGCGTTGCGTACTCGATTGTTCGATGCAATTATTATGTGGAAAGTGTGCGAACGAACGTTCGCGTCGCTTTATACGCGTATTCCGCCAGTCGGAAATTAGAAGAGGGTTCCGTGTAATAATGACGGGGTGAAGAAGCCCCGTTGCGTGGACGCGTGTTGTGTTTACTCACGAGTATCGGCGCGACTCTGCGCTCCCCATTAATCCCGCAACGTTCCACTAACGAGAAGGTTATGAATATTCTGCAATATCTAGGTTATAACACGAGCAAAAATCGCTCCGGCGGATGTGCCCACGCATAACCTTTCATTTCGTGTATCTTTATACACGCGCGCGCGTTTATTGACCATTCAATCGGATATAATGTCGAAATTCTTCGGCAACGCTCCCGTTGCAAGCTAATCCTTCGGCCGAACGTCTATAAATAATGTCAATCCGAAAGTGGCGCAACCGAAATTGAAACAGTGATTCTACGTGTTCGACGTCGCTGTCGTTTTTCCGTAGGAATCCGAAGAAACATGCTCTCTTAACCCTTAGCGCTCCAGGTTGTTTCGTAATCTATCAGCAACTGCAACTAATTTTTATAGTACTCCTAGCGAAGATTAGAAATGCTATAACATTCCTTTTATTTTCCTTCTCAATGCAAAATTTGGATGTGTGGAAAATCGAATAATTTTAGGGTAGTTTCAAGATTCATTAAAATTTATTATAACTGGTGCAATATTGGAGCCTACAGAGTTCAAAGGGTTAAATCATTTCACTGAATAGCATTATTAATTGCATATTCATCCAGCTGAATGTCACCGCACTAGGTAGTACTATTTACAATACAGAAACGTTTTCAAATAATCAACGTTTACTCGAACGAACTACATTCGATTCGGTTGGAGGTCACGTGTTAATGGTCGAACGTTTGACGACGTCGCGAGTGCAACGAGTAATTGTAAGAAGGTTTTTCCACCGCGGCGAAACTGTGCTAACTGGATCGTATTGTTTTCCAGGGGGCACTATGCAGACCGAGGAAGTCGTGTCTCGTACACAATCAACTGGTATAGACGGTAGCCCTACGGACAGTACCACTTTACAGCACCATCTGCATCACTCGGCACATATAAAGTGTCCGTTGCCACCTCTGCTCCATATGGCGGTCAAGCAGGAGCCTCAGGAGGAGGAGGAACGAAGTCGTGACACGAATGCGTTGAGGTGAGCCTACGATTATGCTAATTGATGCTTTCCAGTCGTTCATTTCATCTCCGCGTATGAAGATGCGCCGCAACGGGGATAAACAGTTTCTTCGGCCCTATTGTGAACCACTGTTAGACACGCGGATCTCTCAATCATGATACTGACAGGCCGCCGGTAAACTTGTATTAGCAGGCACGAATAGTTAATAGCGAAATTGGTTCATCGATTTCAGAGTCGATGCTCGTTTTCAATTACGGACACTTTACGAGCATTGGCTGATTGGCTTTAATAATGTACACGTTTACGACTGAGGATATTGTATGTACGAGTAGGAAGTAATTAATTGTACAATAATGAATCAAATGTGTGGAGTAGGATTGTTTTATTCGTGGCTCGGTCTTCGAGATTATTGACTTTGGAAACTGGGAACTCTGTATAGATATGAAATAAACATTATTTGTCTGTTACTTGGGTGCGCGAGTCGCCGAGTCTGAAAAGTGAAGAGGCAATAACTTCAATTATTGGTATGTTTATTATATATCTAAATACAAATCAGAGTCCTCAATTTTATTGAAACTAGAATTTTATATAAAGTAGAGTTTGCAGTATACGTATATTTGACTTTTCAGAGCTTAAGCCTGACAATTTGTGCGCCCAAGTAGTAGATAAATAAATAACTCCGCTTGTTCCGTTGCTATGGTAGTAGATACATAGTGAATAATAAATTTGATAGTCCACAAGAAGATGCAGACTCTTCTCCAACGTCCGTCGACGGTAAACACGGCCACGGCCACGAAACGGGTCATCATCAACTGCAAGACCTGGAGGAGAGCCCAGGACACACGGTTTCGGATCTCAATAACAAAGGGAGACCAAGGTAACCTACCACTTTTGCTCGATTGCATCTTAATTAACACGCCGATTTCCCAATTACCGCTCGTCAGATCAAAACAATCCTCTAAATGTCATAAAAAGCGAAGATCAAAGGAGGTCGAGATGCTTTATGGTGATTGCTCCTTTAGACTATCATCGAAAAACACTTCCAGCGTACTAGGATAAACAAGTTGTGGTAGATTGGGCACCGTTTTATAAGATAAATGAATTATTAGATCCGGAGATGGTGATTCTCCTATCATTCGAGCGTTTCGTTACGCGCATTGGACCAGTAACGGAAACTTCCATACCGCTTCAATGGCGGCGTTGCTCCGTTAAGGGTTAATAACCCGTTGCAACCGTGAAAACCGCTATCGAAGCGAATGCTGCTAGCAAATAGGTTAACTTCGTCCGAAAGTGAAAGAAACTCGGTAGTCCGAGTGTGAAAAGAGACTTGTTCGCGAAGGGTTAACTCGAATTTCTTGGGATTATCGCAGTAAATACGTTAACTTCGTCTGAAAGTGAAAGAAGCTGGATAGTCCAAGTGCGAAAAAGGCTCGTTCGCGAAGAGTTAACACAAATTTATTGGAATTCTTGTTAACTTCGTTCGAAAATGAAAGAAGCACGGCAGTCCAAGTGCGAAAAGGCTCGTTCGCGAAGGATTAACTCGAATTTCTTGGAATTCTCGCAGTAAAAACGTTAACTTCATTCAAAAGTGAAAGAAGCTCGGCAGTCCAAGTGTGAAAAAGGCTCGTTCGCGAAGGGTTAACTCGAATTTCTTGGGATTCTGGCACGCCTGGTTGACGGGTGCGCGTGTTCCTCCCCTAACGACCCTGTCGTCGTAAAACTGGCGCGCGAGAAAGCGCTCCGGACGGAACAAGAAGGCTAAGCGCCGCAGGAAACTGGTTCGCTCCGCGTGCACCGGGTCTTCTGGCGGCGTCGGGGCAAAAAATGATTTCTTAGGCACGTCATTGAAATGCCTCGAGTCGATTACCGTTATTGAATTTCATTAAGAGCTCCGCGCCCCACAGCTGAGAGCCAGAGGAGGATCGCGGGAGAGATGTGTTCTATGCAAACGCGCCACGCCGCGACCGTATAAACCGCGAGGTGTGGTTCGGAATGCAGGTACAACGCTGAAAGCTGCGTCAACGCAGCACCGCGACCCGCAATTATTGTTTTTGATCGCGACCGACCGCTCTCGCGTTTCCGGTTTCGTTGCAGTGCGCTCTTCGGAGTTCTTCGAGAACAAGAGATATCAACGCTATTTTTACCGAAGTTAACACGTTGACGTAAATGCCGTCTGTTGTCCGATCCTCGTGAATGTAGGTGTTAATGACGGCAATGGCCGTCCTATATTCTTAGTATTATAAATAAATGTAGAATCGTTATTTTATTCTGAAAGTATCAGATATTGATCGAACTGCCCAAGAATCGAGTAATCAACGAGAAGAACTGCTTTCGTGCGTCATCGGTTTTGTAGTGATCGACGTGTTAAAGGATTTAGAATTTCAAAATTTAAGCAGAGGTGTTAATGGAGTAGAGATTAAAGAGAAATGTAAAATTATTTTCCAAGTTTAAGCATTTCTTCTAGATTGATCTTTTGATTTTTACTGCGATGGTTGTAGAGTTAATTTAGCCTGTGTGTTTTTAGTGTATACTAAGTTATTCGTTAGGCTACGTTAAGGAATATAATGGGTTTTATTAAATTATCTATCGGTAAAGATACGTGTGTAGTACAGAGTGGTGAAAATAATATTAACAACATGTTTGCAAGTTTCATTTGGACCTGAAATTTTGGGGATTTTCTAAGACTATTTTTGAACAATGGATGATCAAGTCTTTCACAGTTTTCGTATCGTTTCGAAGATATTGAAATCCTTTCTTCGATGTAGATCTTCAGAACGACGTCCCGGGGAACTGGAAATTGAATAAACATTTATGATTAAGTCGATATCAATTGTTAGACTTAAATGTCAAGCGGAGGTACGAAAGCGTCCATTGTTCGTAGAACCGTTGCATTAAGAAACGTTGCCTCGTATACGTGTCAACGTTAAGTATCGGGCTTCTAGCGATATTTATTGAGTAAAGGTTGTCAAGGAATCGAATCGTGTATATAATTTTCCCTCGGATTGATAATGGAACTCGCTTCTAAGAATTCGTAACTGGTGATTAGCGGAATTGATGAGAAACTGTAATTTATATTGGTATTTACGCGTTCCGACTAACTAAAGATAGAACTGAAGGATAACAGACACTTCCATTATTTCTGTTTATATTTTGCTATAGAATTCACAGTGTACAGTTAATCATTTGTTCAGTGCACCTTTTAAATACAAGACAAAATAATATTATTGCAGAAGTATAACCATAAAACGCACTCGTTCACCGTTGTCGCAGGTTTTTGAGTAGGAGAGCATTGTACAATCTTCTTTTAAATGGCAAAATACAAGATTGCCTTGACATTTCGGACGTTCAACTATCCGCTATTCTTTAATGTTTCTCAATAAATCGTACCGTCACTGTAATTGGTAATCATATTCCTATTTGATTAATGACACAAACACTTCATTTACATATATACATTGGGTAGCTACAGCGAGTCAAGTTACAAACGCAGGTAAACCGTGGATACAATATTCTTCATTCTTCTTTTTTCAAGAGCAGATCCATCCTCCTTTTATGTTAATGAACAATTCCTACAGTCAGATCAGACTTCAAAACTACTCTCTACGTGTTGCATAACATACTATCCAAAGTAGTCGATGAACTCAGAGGTTAGTAGTTTAAAGTTCACTAGTGAATCCACGACAGTATGTTAAAACCTCTTTAGTAACTTTCCAAATTCATTTCAATCTCTCCAGGGATTTTCACTACAAAATTACAGATCAAAGGTAAACATAGCAAAATACCTCAACTGCCTCATAAACAGAAACACAGAGTACCCACATAAAAAAAAGACACAAGTTTTTCAATGAAACCTCACCTCTTTGCTAAGATCGTTACCTCGACCACATAACGTATCCAACCGCAGAAGTTGAAAGTTCCCGACGAATCTTCTCACGTGTCCCCAACCCATCTGTTACAGTCGTGGTCGCCGAAAATCCCGATGGAAGCTCAAGTTCCACCACCAAGCACTGCCGCCGGAGTACCTGGACCACTACGAGGCGTCGCTGGCCCAAGAAGCTCTGAACGCTTCGCCGACGCACGTGGTCGAGCCGACGATCCCCAGCCCAGCGCCGACAAGCTCAACCTCAACGCCCAGCCCGATAGCAGATGTGCACGGTTGGCTGCAGCGGATCGCGGCGATGCAGCAGGAGCTGTGTCCCCAGATCCCGTCCCCCAGGTGTCCAGCGGCGAGTCCGAACCAGCCGTCAGGCTCCAGAAGATCGGTGATCACGTCGACAACGTCGCACACTCTGAACGCGAGTCATCACAATCACGGCCAGCAGCAGACGCAAGCGTCGGCGCGGCCGCCGATGAAGTACTCGGACCTGCCGTACATGGGCGAGATCACGCTGGACAACAGCAAGCCTAGGAGAGGTCGCAAGCCGAAGAAGGCGGACATCTGCCACCTGATTTACAAGAACTACGGCACCATACTGCCCGGCACGCCGGGCCACGAGGAGAAGAGGCTGTCGCCCAGGGAGAAGCTGGACGAGAGGATCTCCACGCAGATCCCCTTTCAAAGGACGGACGTTCAGAATAGAATAAGTAGCTTATTAGAGAAGAGACTTACGCAGGAGTCGCGCAGGACGTTCGGTCTGCTGGAGAACACGAAGGAGCAGGACGAGCCGTTGAACCTCTGCATCCGGGATCTGAACCAGCTGAAGATCAGGCTGCTGAGGAAGCACGGGAACGTGTACGAGTCCGGCCAAGTGAAGAGCGAGACGTCCAGCGACGGCGAGGAGGTCGAGTGCATAGGCACGACGTTCCCCTCGGATCCTAGCTACCGTCCTCTAGACGCCATGTGCCGCGGCAACGTCAATCACAACAACAACATCATCGACCCCATGCTGGCAGCCAACCCGGGCTTCGTCTACTGGCCCAACGCGGGCGTGTTCATCCATCCGATGGCGCTGCAGTCTCAACTGTTGTATTACCAAAAAATGGCGCAGAACGACAAGTGCTACCCCAGGATGAACGAGCAGCCCGGCAAGGAGCAGAAGATCATCCCCAAGTCCCTGTACTCCATGATGGAGACGAAAAGTCCGCCATTGATACCCCCTCCAGCTCAAGCCAGCCCGCAGAACGTCCCCGTGCCGCCTCCGGTCTCGCCGAGACCCAAGAGGAACGTCTCGGTCGGCCAAGCCCAGAGCCAACCGACGAAGCGGAAGAGGTCCGCCATCTTCATACCGCCGATGCCGACGGAGAACAACAACAACCCCGCGACGGAGGTCAGCATCTGCAAGTTCAAGTTCACCGGGGGAGCTAAACCCAGCCTCCAAGAGAAGAAGAGCCTCTCCGTCGACTCGGGAGGCAACTTCAGGTACTACAGCGGCACCGGCGACAAGAGCATGCGGGGATACGAGTTCTTCCCTCGGGAGGCTCTGCAGCAGTCCGCTGGACAGTCCGGTTCCTCCACTGGCGCTTTCCTGAACGCCGCCGGCGAGAGGATCCAGCCGGCTCCCTGCCAGAGGACCGTCAACCAGGAGGAGGGCCGGCGGAAGAGGAAGACCAGGAAGTCGCTGCAGAGGGAGAAGCTCGAGCAGACGTTCAAGGAGAAGGGGTTCCTCATCCAGACGCAGCAGCTCGAGTCCGCGGAGGGCGCGACCTACTGCAAGTTCAGGCAGCTCCGGAAGTTCACCAGATACCTGTTCAGGAGCTGGAAGGACTATCTTCCGGGCAATGTGCGCGAGTTGACCGGCGTCGCGGAGAACGAGATGGCGGACGGTGACGCGGAGAGTGACACGAACGTGCTCGCCTCGCCCGTGCCCCATACGAACATGGTGGACGTGGCGACGGGGTTCGTCGACGACCACCGTGGCCTGCCTTTGACGTGAAACTTTCCGGTACCGTTGGTCATGTGTCGGTCAACTTTTTCGCTGGTTGGCCAGCTGCTGGCTGGATCTGCCGTGGCTTCGAGGGGATTACGGGATAACGGAGGATTCTGAGCTTGTGCGATGTCGCGGGAGAACTCTTTGTTGACGTGGGCGATCGAGCTTTCAGGGAAGCTAGGCATCGGGGATGGAGCAGCGGATTTAGAAGACTGATGCGGACAGTCTGAGTCGACTTTGTTGCGAACGTCTAGCTCTGGCTTGACTGCGATGGTTCATCTGAGCAGTCGAAAGTGTTTCTATTTCTTTGTCGATTTCGCGTTGAGATAGTTATTTTCGTATATTCGTGGAAATTGTGGTTTTATAATGGTTGGAATATACATCGGGAAACAAGGTATTGTGTATTTAGAAACAGGTCGCGGGATAATGGTACGACATGCAAGTTAGCAATTGAATAATTCGAATATTTGAAGTTCGAAAATACACCTGACAAAATAATTCTGTTAACAAAATTCGGAAGAAACTTGTTTCCCTTGTGTTGTTTTCAACCGAATATCAAATAGATAAAATGACTGTATTTTGCTAATATGTTCGTGTTATTGTCGACGCGGAAGAACGTGTTGCTCGATACTCAGACCCGTCCGCAAATCCGAGTACAAAATTTCAAAATCGCTACGTAGCACCCGGGATCCGTCAGTCACAACATCCTCGTCGCTGTTGCAAACGTTGCACGCATTTATTGCATCCAACAGTGTTTAACTGCCTTATTATCATACCATTAGGAGTTCTCGCGGGATTTATAGATGGCACAGAGTGAAAGTATAGTAGCTCGCGGAATCCATGTCGCGGAGGGTTCGACGTGTTCACGGCATTTACCCTCGATAAAGTGTATCTCGTTCGACGCGAGGAGATGCTCGCCACGAATGGCTCAGCGGTGTTCTTCGATCTTTTTCGTTTGCATCGGTCAACGGTTCGATTGTGTCGAGCGTGCAAGACGATCGCGCTGCTTTCACCGCGTGACTTTTAATGCCATAATGTTAAATCATAGCACTTTTTTAGATCGTGTCAATTAATATTCTGTCGAGCCTCGGAATTCACAAGTGGAATTTTTCAATGCTTCATGGATTTCTAAATGGAAGAGTTAAATAGCACATCATGAGTAATTAAACATTCTGTTAATTACAATAATATTCCTGCTGATGATTCAAGCTGTTTTTGAAAAGCTGCATTAATTATAATACCAGAATTCGAGTAGTGAATGCGATAGTGAACCACATTAAAATCATATTAAATTGCAAGGTAACTAAATTTCGGAACACCGACGCAAACGTGTAACGACGCTCACTTGTCGATTCACGAATAATCCACAGTTCTGCACAATAAGTTGCACTCGCAGCGCACGTCGCGGTTAGAAACACTCGCGTTCCGATCGAATTGATCCCAGTAATATGAATTATCTGCGGCGCAAGGATTTCACCGTCATCTCGCTGGTGAAGAATAATAATATCACAATCCGCGGGCGTGTTAAGCAACGACCATAGTCTCCGATCCGGCAAAAAAGGCCGGCAATACGCAAGCTGCTAATAAAAAATTAATAATGCAGCTTGAAGATGCTTATCAACGACATGGTCCATTTGTTTCACAATTAGCGTCGTGTAACGGCCTCGATTATACATAACTATAAAGAACTCGGAGTAATTGTGTCCTCGAACACAGCGAGACACCATTCTGGACCCGTTTGAAATGCAGAACAACGTAACGTTACGCGGCGTGTACAACAATTGACAGCGTGAATTGCCGTACGTGTCTTGAACATTTCAATTCTCTATTTTTTCTATTCTAGTTCCATGCAGACACGTTTCTCGCTGCGCCTCGGGTATAATTTGAGACAGGAGTTAACGAATGTTTCATTGATTATTCATTCTGTATACGTTACTAATTTTGCGGAATCTTTCTGCAATATTGTCCTAGAGAAGAATTGAGATACTTTATTATTTTCGATGCACTTTAAAATAAGTTATAAAACTAGACGAAGTGTTCAGGGTCTAAGACTTGCCACAATCATTATCTTAGGAACTACAGGAACTACAGGACAAAATTGACATTGGATAAAGTAGAATTTCTTTCGCGAAGAATCGAGTGGGTTAAGGAAAGAGTGAATCGAAGTCATTTGACACTAGAACTACCGTTTGATTGTCTTATTTTGCAATTATTGATATTTCCGAAGTATTCGATATCCGACATGATTTTGAAACTACATGGTTTCACTTAAATATTACAAAAGTATATGTATATATAAACAATAAATGTACGGTAGTTTTATTGTTAAGGAGCTGAAAGATACGGCGTGCAAGGATTAAACGAATAGAATGGAAATCGACAAGTGAGTGTATCGATGTTTATCGCGCGAACGCGTCGCAAACGATCGAAAGAACCTACCAGTTCTATTCTTGCGCGAGATCTGTAATTGGTAACGACGAAACGTTGGGAGATAGCAAACGGGATAAAGATAACGAGCGAGTGCCAGCGCGAGAGGAGCGGAAAGAGGAGTGAGAGATAGTGATAGTGAAACAGGTGGCGAAACAGCGGCGGCCTTATCGCGCCGTCGGTGGCGCTCGAACAATATAACGTTAAAATTCGATCGTAGCTCCGTGCCAAAGATGGGAGAGCGGAATGTACATAATCGCTGAAAGAAACGTTGTTAACCAAAGAGTGGTTCCGTGCTCGCCGATTAGAAGCGGACGCGAGACGATACTCCGCGGCGTCCGAGTGGCTGCGCGCGAGAACGGACGGCGATCATTGGACTGCGGATCTTTACTTGCTTCTGCGCATCTTTGACGATGAAATTTCGAAACGCGGAATCCCGTAGAATGCACGCGACACTATAAAATCCACGAAACATCTAAAACGCACAGTATTTTCCTGGGACTTTAATTAGGAAAAATTATCTTCCTGTGACTTCAAATTCGCATAACGGTTCAATTTTCGAAGACGATCCGTTGAAAACTAGAAAACAGCGTCTGATTAAACGAACAAACCTTTATCGCAGCAAAAGGTACAGACACCGATGATGTTTTCCAACGTAAATATTCGTTCGCATCCCAGAAATCCTCAGACGCGACGAAAGCACGAATTATCCGCAGTCCGGTGATCGCCGAAGAAATGGCGGCCACAGGTTCCCGGTTTCGCCGATCGACGTCGAGCCGGCCACGAAACTTTCTTCGGCCGATCATTGCAATTGCATTTCGCGGGGCTCGCGCTCTCGTACGGTTAAATGCGCGACGGGGACGGGAACACACGTCGGAAAGAGAGAGATTAAGACTCGGCGGTGGGGGGGAACGCGAGGAGAACAAAATGGTGGGAAGAGTGGAGAACGAGCGATGCCCGTCGTTGTCATTATTATTCTTTTTCTTTATCTTTCGTTTTTTTTTCACTCGTATAAGCGACACGCGATCTTATTTAAATAAATAACGCCTAACGGAATCTAGTCTTATTTATACTCTTTGTTAAATCAAAAGCCGTGTTTTTTTCTTTTTTATTATTATTATTATTATTATTATTATTATTCTATTATTATTCTATTACAATATTATTATTATTATTATTATTATATTATTATTATTATTATTATTACTATATTATGTATAGCGATTTATTTATGTACGCATTACTCGACTGACGACGCGCAGCGTTGTTCAGGACTCATAATACAAGAGATGTATCTAAGGACGAACATAAGAATCGTGCTTTCTTTTTTTTTTCTGGTTTAATGATCGATAAATAATGGTGTCTTTCGGACGCTCGGGCGGATATCGGTGGCATGATTGAAACGATCGTACCTGAGGTTCGCGGCGCGTCCTTCGGCGGGACGAGCACCGTGCGTTTTCGCGAGTCTCTCGCTTCACGCCGGTTCCCGCGGTTTATCGATGCGAATGCCTAGAGAATAGATCTCACCGATAACGCTCGGGACGGAGCGGCGCTCTCGAATGGCGCGGGGCGCGTTTACAGCGGAGCTGCGATTCTCGAGAATAGCGTCGAAGAGGGAACGCGGCTTTTCATTTGAAATCGGAGGTGTCGAACTGCAGGCTCTTTTCCTTCTGATCGGCAAGGCTTGTCCTCTTGGTGGCTATTTCCTGTCAAGAACGCCACTGCGGACAGACTGCCGTCGGTTGCTGGGAACTTGGCACTCTGTATCAAGAATAGGTGGTGTTCATTTTTTAATAACAAACAGTTCTTAAGGTCTCTACTGTGTAAGGAAGCTACGATCTGACCGAACTTTTGAACGTCACTGTGTATATATACCGTCCGTTGCAGGAAACTTGGCACTCGTGATGTCATAGGGGAGACAGTCGTTCCGAGACGTCCAATTGCGAGTTCGGAAACGGCGCTCCCCATTCTTCGTCGCGCGACTTGATTGGTGGGCGCGAGCGTCTCAGCCAATCGGGCGTGCGCCTTCGCAGCTGACCACTCGGACGAGAGTGCCAGGTTCGCTGCAACGGCGTGTAGTCTTCATTTTGATCGTTTCATTGGGTGATCCTATAAGTAACGAGGTTGTTTAGCTTACTTTTATGAAGTGTTTCTTAATGCCATTATAAAAGTGGCATCAAAAGACTCATCGACAAACGGGAGAAGCTCATGCTTAATGATGGTCGATACGTCGACGATTAACCCTTTGACTGCAGAAGACTTTGAAACGCAACCGTGCCACACGGTACAGTGTCACAAGTTTTCTGGGCGTCTTTAGTCAACAGCAGTCAAAGGGTAAAGAAGAATGTAAGCGTCAGCTTTTTTCGTTAGAAGTTGGTATTGAATCGGTATTGAAAATGAAACAAGAACTGACGATAACTGGCCACAGACTCGCGTTTCTTTCGCTGACGCTCTTGTCTGAGGCGTATAACGCATATTAGATCTGCTCTCGAACAGTCTGGAATGGCTTCTGTAATTAAGGCAGCAGGGAGTTGCTGATCCAGAGTGATTAACTCAAAAGGAGGCAGTTCGACACCTCCGATCAGAAATGGAAACGTTTTCGTTGAAGCGACGCGTGGAGGTACTCTATGTCGGTTAATTGATCTACTCGACGCTGAGATCGAGCTACTCCATGTTCGGTTAATTGATCAACGGTACAGGCGTTGCGAGTCGACGCTCTCCTCGCTTCTATCGCGGCTCCGCTATAAACGTACCCTCGGCAGACAAAATGGCGAACGAAAGTGCGACAGGAACCGTCCTACATCCGTGTCGCCTCGCTGTCCCGCGCAGCGACGCGCGATGCAATTTTGTACGTATCGTCGAATTATACATTGATCGATTCTAAATAGTCTGTAATAATAAAACGTAATTGTTACTGATGACACCTTCGTTGCGTCCTTTGATCCCTGGGAGACTGATCAGCGCAGGCTTAATCCTTTTCAGCGGCACGATTCTTTCTGATATCGATAGTTTTGCTATTTTTTAGTGTTGTGGAATGTAATTGCACAGTGGACAATTCTATCACTCTCAAATTATAGTGGTATTACATTTGTGATATGCAGACCGCGTCAAACCTTGACGCACAGAGCTATAGCTCCACGGCTAGTCCCATCGCAGCTAAAAGGTTAATACGTTAAAAGGTCAAAAAAATTCTCTGAGTTCCTTATCGCAAGATATTTATTCAAACGACATTGTCACACCTGCTTCCATAATTGAAATAATAGTTCGACGAAGGATATCCTTAATTAACCAATTTCTTATCCAGTTTCTCGAAAAGAAATACCATGTCACATGACTAAAAAAGCTTCTTGCAGTAAAGTCCTTCGGTAATCCGTTCGACCACCTGTTTCCCATGTTTCCAACTAAAAAGGTAACGAAGTGGTTCGCAATTAATATTCCAAAGAAATCGATATTACCCCCATTCCCAAAGAAAATAAGATCGTGAAAAACGAATTGCCAGAACCCTCGTCGGAACCCCGTAATTTTCATTACAATTTAAGCGAAAATTGCCTCGGCCTGCTGCAAGGGTCCAAGCGGCAGCGTCTGCGGGTCCGAGGGATAAAAAAAGGATTTCCGTGGAAGCTTAATTAAACGTTGCCAGGATGTTTCATTGATGCACCTGGAGGGCCGAGAATCTGCGCGCGTCTCGGCCACTATGTACCTTAACCCGACAGGTATACTCGAGTATTACGTACACGCGCGAGCGCTCTCGCGAGGGGCACACGCACGCGTGCAAATGGCGCACAGGAACCCGAAGAAAAGGGACAGGGGTACGCGTGTGCGCGTGCATGTACGCACTGCTCGGCCAATCGGTCTCTCTGTTCAATGCGTGCAGCCAGCCATTCATGCATACGCCCATTCATACGTCTCTCCGGCTCACCTTGAA